ATTGTCCAAAGAAGTGGAAAATTTCGGATGACTTCATTTCCATACAATCTTCTTTCCCTTCTTTCCTTCCCTCTTTCCTTCTTTTCTTCATTCCTTCTTTCCTCCCTTCCTTTCCTTTTTCCTTCATTTCTTCCTTCCCTCTTTCCTTCTTTCTCTCATTCCTTCATTTCTTCCTTCCTTCTTTTCCTCCATCCTTCCTTCCTTTTCCTTTGGCACTAATCTATTCTCTTATGTTGTTTACAATGACTTAGAAATTCCAAAGTACCATAAGGTTGATCCATTAAAGGATCCCATGTGGAATTTTATTTTCTATCAAATGTAATGCTTCCACTGTAATTGAATATTACCTTACATGGGAGTCTTCTGCATCAATATGTAAACTTCTAATTATTCAAGTGATCCTAAACTTAAAGTAAATATGACTCATTTGTGGCTGGATCAAAGTACATATTGGTGACCAAAATGTGCAAACTGAAATACTGACAGCATTTTCGAAGCGACTGCTTCAAAATCAGAGGACCTCATCTTATACTTATTCTCTTAGACAAAGGTTGAAATACTTTTTCTATTCTCTGCACTGGACTAACTCAACTAGTTCTTATACAGAGGAAACCCATGAAACCCTAATCAATATGAAATACTCACAAATAAATGTTATTATTTCAATATTGCCTTTATAGTCATATTTGTAGTCATCTATTTTCAACAAACTGCTTGGAAGAAAATTTCATTTAGTCTGTGTGTTTTCACTATAATGTGAAGTGTGTGTGTGTGTGTGTGTGTGTGTGTGTGTGTGTGTAGGTGTTTAATGGACATTTCTCAAATGAAACTGAATCAAGTTATTCTCTAGTCATTTCAACTGAGATGTTTCTCAGGTGTTGCAATCTCTAATTCTTTACCAGGCATGAGACGCTCATGTGAGAGGTGCCTGAATCAATGCTGATGAGGGTGACATGTTCACTTTTATTTTTGTGATGCCTATAAGGCTGCCGGTGTAGGGCAAGAATCTTGTCTTGGGTCAGATTTAATAAGCCGTGCTGTTTGTACATGCTAATGTAATAGATGCCACCACTTGCTCTTGAAACAGTTGCAGCATGATTAATAATTATAAAGACCCCTGGAGTATGTGCTTTTTGTAAGCTGCAAGCTCTTACTCACCTGAGCTTGTCTTTATTTTAAAGAACAAACTTTTTTTAAACAACAACATTTGTTTTAAAGGATTAGCAGCAACTGCAAACCAAGCAATAATTTTAAAATTTTAATTATTGTATGCAATCTGCTTTAAAGTGACTAAAGCCTAATAATTGGCTCAAACGTTTGCTTAATAGGCATAAAATAGGCCAGCTGACGCAAACACATTTTGAACTATTGAAGCAGCAACTTACTCAGATACACTTGCAAAATTCTCACTTAGCTTGCTTTCAGGAGTTATGGAACACAGCATACTTCCTCAGTTCCCTGGTAGCATATTAGCACCTCCTGCCCTGGTTATAAAAACCCAGCGGGACTTTTTTCTGGATACTACCTTGCATTCCTTTTTAATGGCTTTTCAAAGAATGTCTTTAACCTTAGCTACTCTTAAAGGACTAAGCAGAGAGAATGAAATGGTACAGGAGACAGCTTCCTGAAAGTAACATCAGTAGCATAGACATTGAGATTGACAATTAATAAATGGGACCTCCTGAAACTGAGAAGCTTCTGTAAGGCAAAGGACACAGTCAGCAAGAAAAAAAGGCAGCCCACAGAATGGGAAAAGATATTCACCAACCCCACATCTGACAGAGGGCTGATCTCCAAAACTTACAAAGAACTCAAGAAGTTAATCTCCAAAACACCCTATAATTCAATTAAAAAGTGAGGTACAGAGATAAATAGAGAATTCTCAATAGAGGAGTCTAAAATGGCTGAAAGACACTTAAGAAAGTGCTCAACGTCCTTAGTCATCATGGAAATGCAAATCAAAAAAACTCTAAGATACCATCTCACTCCTGTCAGAATGACTAAAATCAAAAATACCAATAACAGTTTATGCTGGAAAGGATGTGGAAAAGGGGAACACTCCTCCACTGCTGGTGGGAGTGCCAGCTCTTATAGCCATTTTGGAAATCAGTATGGATATTCCTCAGGAAGATGGGACTCAGTCTACCACAAGACCCAGCAATTCCACTGTTAGGCATATACCTGAAAGATGCCTATTCATACAACAAGGACATCTGTTCCACTGTGTTCATAGCAGCATTATTTGTAATAGCCAGAACATGAAAGCAACCTAGATGCCCCTCAACTGAAGAGTGGATAAAGAATGTAGTACATTTACACAATGGAGTACTACTCAGCAGAAAAAAACTCAGCGGGAGATAAAACAATGATATCTTGAAATTTGCAGGCAAATGGATGGCAGTAGATGAAACCATCCTGGGTGAGGTAACCCAGTCACAAAAAAAAACCAATCATGATATGTACTCACTAATATGTGGATTTTAGACATGGAGCAGGGGACTGCCAGCCTACAATCCCACAGCCAGAGAGTCTGGGAAACAGGGAGAACCCTAAGAGAGATATGCATGATACCCCGGAAAAGGAGAATGAGCTGCTTGGAGGGGAGACGGAGCAGGGAGACAAAGAGGAGAAGAGGAGGGGAGAGGAGGACATGGGGGAACAGGAAGGTTGAGTCGGGGGAAGAATAGAGGAGAGCAAGATGAGAGATGCCATAATAGAGGGAGTCATTATAGATTTGAGGAGAGATCTGGCACTAACTAATGAGATTTTCAGGGATCTACAAGGATGACACCAACTGGCAATCTAACCAATAGTGGAGAGGCTACCTTAAATGCCCTCCCCTATAAGGAAATTGATGACTACCTTATATGCCATCCTAGTGCCTTCATCCAGTAGCTGATGGAAGCAGAAGCAGATACCCATGACTAAACACTGAACTGAACTCCTGGAACCCAGTTGTAGAGAGGGAGGAGTGATGAGCAAATGAGTTAAGATCAGGCTGGTGAAACCCACAGAGACAGCTTACCTGAATAAGCAGGAGCTCATGGACCCCAGACTGATGGCTGAGAGGCCAGCATGGGATTGATCCAGACCTCCTGAACGTGGGTGTCATGAGGATGCCTCGGCAATCTATGGGGCCTCAGGTAGTAGATCAGTATTTATCCCTGGCGTAAGAATGGACTTGGGGAGCTCTTTCCACATTGAGAGATGCTATCTCAACCTGGACACATGGGGGTGGGCCTAGGCTCTGCCCCAGATGATATGACAGATTTGGAGATCCCCAATGAAAGGACTCACCCTCCCTAGGGAGTGGAGGGGGGATGGGGTAAGGGTTGGAGGGGCTGGGGGGCTTGGGGGGTGGAGGAGGATGGGAGGGAGAAGGAGCTGGGATTGACATGTGAAGCAAGCTTGTTTCTAATTTAAATAAAAAATAAAATAAATAAAGGACTAAACGGGCTGCTTGGCTTCAGTGCAAATGTAAGGGCTGAGATGGCTCAGCAAATTCATATTCTATATAGGAAAGTCCACAGAGGAAGAGAGAAGCAGAGAGAGATTTAATATCTGCCTAAGAGGTTACACTACCAGTGGTGCTGTAATAGAGATCAAATACCACCCCAGAGGTAAAGAAGATGAGTTTTATCGGTTATCTACCTCAAGAGGTCTGACCTAAATGATCAAACCTGAGACTCTCATTGAGTTTCTCCAACTATCTTGGTTGTTGAAGAGGTCAATTCTTATTTGAGCCCTTTAAAACAGCCCCATCTGTCTAATTCAACTGGATTGCTGAACCATCATCATTTTTCAGCATAACAAGAAAATTGAGAATCAGTTGCTTTTTCTGCTTCCAAACAATGCTGTTCACTTCAGAAAGCTCAACCCAGCTAACTTTCCTGTTCTGGCCTCTTTTCACAAGTTTCTCTGGCTGGCTCTATTCTTTCATTTGACTTTTCCTCTCATTATCTTTTCAAATTTCAAAGAGGCATGTGTCGGGGCGCAGTCAGGTTTGGGCAATCTGCTTAGGGCCAGAAGGTGTGGTTAGGGTGGAGGTGGTGGGACGGCATTCTGGCTGTTTTATTTTCTCATCTCAGGTCCTGGTTTTAAAAAAAAAACGCAAGCTGTGTATTGTGTGGGTGTTTTTTCTATGATGTGCAAGTACGCACAACTCTATTTCTCAAGTGAGTAACTATGAGTGTACATATCTTGGAATAATCCATGAATTTATGTAAACTACAAAGGAAACTGTACACTCACAGGAAATTTTACGTGGTATTCAGCTTTTCAAACAATGCAACCAATCAGTACCAACCAAACTAGTTGGCAAAAAAGAAGTGGAAAAGACCGTGCTTCTGTTTCTCTTATTTTTAGTGGCAGTAAGTAAGCTGTTTATTTGAAAAACATCACTTTAGTGAATAAATGCCTTCATAAACCCAGGAGAACTATAATCCAGGATTGTTTGAGTTATAGCAACATAATGCTCCATGGTTAGTTTTCCAGTGGAAAGGAGATAGTTTAGTGATTCACACAGAATTTCTGAGACACAGAAGAAATCTTTATAGAAAAATGTTTTATGTATTGCTTATGATATGAGAGAAGGGGCAGAAAGAGGAATTTAGAACTGGCCAAAGAATGTTGGAGCAGAGTGAGACCTTAGGAACTCTCTGGAACATTCCCTCATTTCATAAACAGGCATTCTCTGCCAGTCAAATGAATACTTCTAAGTCATCACCCTGTTAGGAAGAGGAGGGACCTAGCTTTTCTGCATTTTCATTAAATTATGTAGCATTTTAACAATTTGAAACATGTAAATTGTACTCACATATTTTAATACATGAATCTACTACATAGCAATCCAAACAGGGTACACATGTCTCCTCAGCCATCTATCTTTTCTTGTGGGCATGTATGTCTGTGTACATACACACACATGTGGAGACCAGAGTTCAATCTTAGACGTCATTCACATTGCTGTTTTTTTGTTTTAAATTTTTATTAACCCAGTGGTGATGGCACACACCTTTAATCCCAGAACTTGGGAGGCAGAGACAGGGGTATCTCTCTGAATCTGAGGCCAGCGTGGTCTACAGAACTAGTTCTATTACAGGCAGGGTTACATATATATCCAAAAACAACAAAAAAAGGTTTTTTTGAGAGTTCCATGCAATGTGTTCTAATCATATTTACTTCCCCTCCCCTAAATCTTCTTCAATTCACCACCCTCTTTCCAACTCATCGAACTTTGTGTCATTTTTTTCTTCAGTCCTTCAAGACCAATTTGTGTTTTATAAGGTAGGGTCTCCCAGGCCTAGAGCTCATCAAGTAGGCCATCAAGTCGTAAGAATCTGCCCATTTTTACTTCCCCAGTACTGGAATCATGAAAACACGTCACTACACCAGCTGTTTTACATGAGCTCTGGTATCAAACAGGTCCTTGGGTCTACAAGACAAACACTTTCTCAACAGAGCCATCACATTTATTACTTCTTGGTGGTGAAACATTCAAACTCTTTCCTGTGAAACAAACAAAAAAAAGTGACAGAGTATATAATCATTACCTATAGTCATGGCCTGTGCAGCAGACCACCAGAACTTTCTTCTACCTAACTGTAAGTTAACACCTGTTAATTAGCCTTTCACCACTCATTCTCCTCCCCTACTCTCACCAGCCTCTGGTAACTGCCATCTCCCTCTCAATAGCTAAGAGTTTGACTTCTTTTATACTCTGCTATTGGTGTGGTCATGCAGCATAATGACCTCTGGTTCCACTAATGCTTTTGCAAATGATAATATTTCATTCTTTGTTGGATGGTGATGGCACAGGCCTTTAATCCCAGCAGTTGGAAGAAGAGGCTAGTCTCAGGATATCCAGGACTGGTACACAGAGAAAACTTGTCTTGAAAAATGAAACCAAAGAAAAGGAAAATATTTCAGTCTTTTATAAGTTACGCATCATAATGATTTATGTATATGAGCCATGTTTTCTTTGTTCATGCCTCAGTCAATGGGCACTTAAGCTGGGATTATTTTCTTTCTAGCCCTAGATGGCTCAACCCAGCCCCCTCAACTCAACCAGCTGTATACACCTCCCAGCTATGCCTCGTGGCTGTCCAGACAGGGGAGGAGTGTTCATCTCAAGTTCCAGGATAAAGCCCCCATCCAGGTGACTGGCTCAGTGCGCAGCATGGGTGAGGTGGCAGCTCACACTGTGTGAGAAACAGTGTGGGTTCTTAGCCTCACCAAGCTGCTAGTCTGGAACACGATCATTTTTGAGTTTGGGTGTAAGTTTTGATCAGGAACCAGGGTTCAAAATTCACACAATCCACCTTTTCTGACATCATGTAGGATCTCCAAATTTCAATTTCCTCATCCACAAAACACTGATTATATTATCTACTCTTTATCAGACCCTAAAGTTATTATATAAAATAATACATATCAAAAGTATCTCTTTACCATCATATAAAACAAGATGGCGGATCCCTTCAAAACATAAGGAGTTCTTATTTACACTCAGAACGGTTAGATGTCCAGTGTTTGGCAAAAATTAGTTTCTAAACAATTGACTGTTTAAGCCAATTTAAGTTTGAAATCTATATCAACTTTTACATGCATGACTCTGTCTCTTTCCTTATCTAGCCTGTGAGATGGAAGGAATCAATATATCCAGTCTCCAAACAAGATTCTGGGAAAAACTTTGGTGCTCCTGCTCCAGGCTGTGGAACAAGTCTGATGATTCCATTTGGAATGATGTCCCAGATGTCATCAGAGTTCACACATTCTGCCCTTTCAAGAGCCCACCCAAATTTTGCCTTCATATTAAGGCTTCCAAAACCCATCTAGGCAAAACGTTAAATCTGATTCCTGCCCACAGCCTACTCTCCTATAGTCTCTCTGATTTTTCTCTTTATAAATTACTACATATTAATTCCCTAGATAATCTGGTTTTTGTTTAAGGAAAACACAACTTTCACCTTAAAGAAAATAAGAGATAGCTTATTCTTGAGCCAAATAAGAGTGGTCATGTCCTGGGAACATGGATTCAAGTTTCCTGAAATAGCCTGTTCTAGTATTGAAATGGTTTCATGAAATTTTAGGTTACAGAGCAAAATAAACTCATACGTAAACTAAGGTGGTTTTAAAATACATTGGTGGAAACATTAGGTTGTCAGGTTAGAGTAAAGTGGAGAAATGCTTGCTATGGGTTTCAGAGGCTGTCTGGGGGTATTCTCGACTTTTGAACTGGTAGAAGCTAATGGTCTGTTAAGTAAACACATTACAGAAGGTTTTATCTGGTCAAATAGCAGAATACAGACATGGGTAATGAATAATAACTAAAGAAAGTAAAGACAGAACAAGATAATTTGTCTCTGAGTGTGCAATATGTTGCCTCTTCATAGTTAAATTTAGAAGCTTTAGCATAGGTGTGGCTTTTCCTTGGGACTTCAATTCATGGTTTATATTTCACGACATTTCATCCTAATTCCCCTCCCAACATTACAAAGTATAATATAAACATCATGATGTCATGGAAAGTCTAGTGCTTTGTTTGCAGAATACCAAGTGAATTGAACAAAGAAATGAATGCATGAGGTTTAGTCCCAGATTTTAACAGCAGGATAACATCAGGTAGGATTTCCGGCTCTGCTCCTGTCAGCTCTGTTCTCCTTAGGGGCAGGCCACTGAATCCTGGTGCCTATGTTCTACCATTCACACTTATATTCTCTACAGTCAATGGGACATTTTTAAATGAAAATTTTTTGTAACTTGGTGAGTCTTCATTGCCATGGTTGGTGTTGTTTGGTTGCCACTTAAATGCTACCATTAGCAGTAGGAATACCACCTAGAGTTCAAGAAACTCTTAGATCCCATGAATTGAAGTGCAGCTGCTTAAACTAAGCCATGGAAAAGAATCAAGATAAACTTCCCTTCATTTCTCTACTGCATCGTTAGACTCTCAGTTTTCCTAAGAAGTACACACACACACACACACACACACACACACACACACACACAGAGAGAGAGAGAGAGAGAGAGAGAGAGAGAGAGAGAGAGAGAGAGAGAATGAATCTAGATTATGTTAATTGAGATGTTCTACCCATTGTGGGCAGAACCATTCTGTAAGATGGAGATCTTGGAATGTTTAAAATGGAGAAAGCAAGCCAAACATTATGATGCATGCACTCATGCTCTCTCCTTCTGACTACAGACGTAACGTGGTCAGTTGCTTCCAGCTCCTGATGCCTTAGCTTCCCTGCCATGATAGATTGTGACCCGAAACTGTGAGCTAAAATGAAACCTTTCTGCATTGAAAAAATAATGAGGAGGCAGAAAAGGAGTGGGAGGAGGGGGAAGACAAAAAGGATAAAATAATTTTAAACTTCAAAAGATTAATGCTGGGGGATGGAATCTAAGGTATGAGCACCAGCTAGAGCAGGAATTAGATTCTCTAAGATACCTTTTCTTTTCTTTTTGTCTCACAGTAATTTAGAATGTGTTACTTTATATAAAAACAATTAGGATTTTCTGTTTTATGATAGCTACTAATCTTCTTCCATGTCCTTAAAATTCTGACTCCATTCATGTACATCTTCCTGTAAGTGTGGACTGAGAAGTACTTTAGAAAACACTTGACTTCTGGGTCTTTCTGCAGCTCCATTAAACTGAAAGTTCCAGGAGAGAAGGATGCCCAAGTTGCTCAACACCTAAGATAGTGGGCACCCAGCAGGCACTGAATAAGTACTGTTGAGTGAGTGACTGATCGAGTGAGTAAGTAGGATGGAGGACTCATGAGAATTCGTATCTTCAAAAGTTCCCTTGATGGAACCAGTGAGAGATTGTCCAATGTAACCACAGTGGAGAAACCAAACTTATACTTTCCGATTATTCATCACTGTGTAGTACTGACGTCATCACCATCCTAGCATTTGTGACAACTGTAAAGCTTGTGAACTTTTCAAACATGCTCACTGTTACATACTTAGATATATCAGCTTGATGAGCTACTATAAATTAGATGATTGTGTAGTATTACTTATGTCAAGAAATGGGAAATTTCTGTCTCACCGATGTCTATGGCCCTGTACCTTTTCATACTCCTGACTTCCTCTTACTCTGCTGAAGGAAATTCCACCATGATTTTCTGGTATCCTTGGCTATGTTTTTCTTTACTCTTTTCTCATCTAAATATAGTCCCCTAAACAAAATAATTTTGTTTTATTTATGAAAAGGCAAAACCATACAGCTTAGATTGTTTTGTGTCAACTTCTTTCACTCAGCCTACATCCGTTTTCTTGTGATTGTCTGCAGTTTGCCTTTCTTACAGTTTATATTCCCTTGTACAAAGAGGTTAATGTGACTTTGGTCTATAAACCCAAGTGTAGTCTACAAAGTTGTGCTATGAGAAAGTATATTCAGCAAACAGGTTGTACTTACCAATGGACAATTTGATCAGTTTCACAACTCTCCCAGTGGACTCTTCCAGTCTTTCTAATTAGGTAAGATAGGATGCCCAAAGAGCTTTAGAACTTTATTAAAGGTGAGAAGTGGATATTGGTGCTGGAGCCAGGATAGATTTTTCTGTCTCATCTCCTTGTTCTTCAGCGACTCACTTGCACCGGAATGTGGGGAGCTCAGAAGGCATTCAGGCCACTGGGTCTGTGTTTCAAAAACCATATATGTAAATTCAGAGGAAGATATTAGTAATGAAATGAATCTGAAATAAAAGATAAAACAACAAACTACCATTATCATATCATAATCAATAATTATCATAACATAATAATTGAAATAAGAACTCTTAACATTACTAGTTGGTCACCTTTGTACAGTAACACAAGGCACAAAAGTTAAGTTTGTGTTCTGTGAGATAATGATCTTTGCTGTCTATCTAAATTAAAAAGTCAAAGCAAATGGAGAAAAGTGGTCCAAGAGAAATGAGGAGATGGTCTCAGCAGCAGACAGTGTGATCACACATCTCCTATCCCTCATTCCCAATTTTCTATTGTCTTAAGGGTCTGGATCTTCCCCCCATATTATAGCAGACATGAGCCACATGTGTTACTGAACTCTTGAAATGTGCTCTTCATGTAAAAGATACACCAGGCTCCAATGATTTACAGTAAAACAATTAATATAATATTCCTTAATATCTTACATTGATTATATGCCCAAATGATATCATTTATATACATTGAGTTAAACAAAATGTATTATTAAAATGAAACTCATGTTTATTACAAGTTTCTGAAATGTGCCTCCTAGAACTGTTAAAAATTGAGCATGTAACTCACATTATGATTTGATTAACAGAACTGGCCTAGGACATGGGACACCAAGAGCAGAAGGCAATCTGCCAAACACTGAGGTGACTTTTACCATAGTCAGGTGAGGTGGTGCAGATTCCAACAAATAAAACTGAGACACCAAAGTAAATATGTGTTCTTACATGGCTGATATTATTTTAACTGATCTTGGTAAAAGGATACAGCATTCATCTTTTGTGTGTGTGTGTGTATGTGTGGCCTCATTAAGCAATCTAAAATATCTGCCATTCTTTTTTATGTTTTTGTTTAAATTAGAAACATGCATGCTTCACATGTCAATCCCAGCTCCCTCTCCCACCCCTCCTCCCTTGTTCCTCCACCAGTACCCACTCCAGCCCCCCATCCAATCCCCACATCATTCCCCAGGGAGGGTAAGGCCCTCCTTGGAGGGATCTCCAGAGTCTGTCATTTCATTCAGGGCAGGACCTAGGCCATTCCCCATGTGTCCAGGCTGAGAAAGCATCCCTCTATGTAGAATGGGCTCCCAAAGTTCATTCATGCATTGTGGTAAACACTGATCTACTATCAAAGGCCCCAGAGATTTCTGAGGCCTCTTCACTGACACTACATTCATGGAGTCTGGATCAGACCCCTATTGGCCTCTCAGCCATCAGTCTGGGGTTCAAGAGCTCCCCCTTGTCCAGTCAGCTGTCTTTGTGGGTTTCACCAGCACGGTCTTGAACCCTTTGCTCATCACTCCTCCATCTCTGTCACTGGGTTCCAGGAGTTCAGTTCAGTGTTTAGCTGTGGGTATCTGCCTCTGCTTCCATCAGTCATTGGATGAAGGTTCTAGGATGGCATATAAGGCAGTCAATGATCTTATCATCAGGGAGGGGCTATTAATGTAGTCTCTCCGCTATTGCTTAGTTTGCCAGTTGGTGTTATCCTTGTAGATCTCTTGAAATCTCACTAGTGTCAGCTCTCTCCTCAAACCTATAATGACTCCACTTATTATGGTATTCATCTTTTAAAGGTATTTTAAAGCTGAAAATTACAAAAGTTAGATGACAAAAACAAACCACACAGCCAAGGACATGAGTGAACTAAGTCTGCTTCCAACTTCATCTTTTCAACCCCAAGTACTGGACCAGGGAAGCAGCTGTTCTGGCAGCAGGATCAGGTACAACAGGCCCTGCTTCTGGGCCTGTGTTCCAGTGTCTGGGGATCGCCTGGGAACTGCACAGAGCTTCCAATCCTGGTGGGAGCCAAACACCCCAGACTCAAGGACTTCTCTTCCACCAATGAGACCAGGAAACCAGAGGAGCCAGGGAGACCAGGGGAGCAGCTGTTTTGGCAGGATCAGTTACAACAGGATCCAGCAAAGGGTTCAGGGGACCAGGTGGGAGGCTAAGCGCCCCAGATTCCTGTTCTTCTCCACCCATGGGACCAGAATGAGGACAAGGAGTAGAAACTACCAGATTATTGGACTTCCTAGCACCCACCAAAAGGGAACTCTGGTCCCCTAACCACCAGACCAATAAGGGGCTCTTTCTGCACCCACTAGAAGAAGAGATGGGAAAGAGACAATACAAAAACACACTCAGCAACAGAAAAACAAACATGACACCACTAGATTCTAGAGACTCCACACCAACAAGACTCTAACATTCCAATGCAAACAAAGCAGAAGAGAATGACTTTAAAACCACTTTCATGAAAATGATAGAGGCCCTAAAAGAGGATATAGGAAAAATCCCTCAAATAAATGGGAGAAAAAACAAACCAAAAATGCAAGAAATGGAAGAAAAAACAAACCAGAAAAGGCAGGAAATGGAAGAAGAAATGAAACAAAAAATGCAAGAAATGGAAGAAAACACAAAGCAAAAAATGAAAGAAATGGAAGAAGAAACATACCAAAAAAAGGCAGGAAATAGAAGAAGAAACAAAGCAAAAAAAATGCAAGAAATGGAAGAAAAAACAAAGCAAAAACATGAAAGAAATGGAAGAAGAAACAAACCAAAAAGGCAGGAAATGGAAGAAGAAACAAAGCAAAAAAATGCAAGAAATGGAAGAAAAAGCAAACCAAAAAATGCAAGAAATGGAAGAAAGAACAAACCAAAAAATTCATAAAAGGCAACAAATGGATGAAAAGATAAACCGAAAATTGCAAGAAACAATGCAAACACTGCAAGAGCTGAAAACTGAAATAGAGACAATAAAAAAACACAATCTGAAGAAAGGCAGGAAATAGAAAAGCTGGGCAAACGGTCAGGTACTGCCAATATAAGCATTACCAACAGAATAGAAGAGATGGAAGAGAGAATCTTAAGTGTTGAAGATACACTAGGAGAAATAGATTCATCAACCAAAGAAAACCTTAAGTCCAACAAATCCTTAACACAAAACATCCAGGAAATATGGGACACCATGAAAAGACCAAACCTAAGAATAATAGGTATAGAAGAAGGAGAAGAAAACCACCTCAAAGGGGCAGAAAACATATTCAACAAAATCATGGAAGAAAACTTTCCCAACCTTAAGAAAGACATGCCAATGAAGGTACAAGAAGCTTACAGAACACCAAATAGAGTGGACCACAAAAAAAGTCCCCTAGCCACATAATAATCAAGACCCCAAATATACAGAATAAAGAAAGAATATTAAGAGCAGCTAAGGAAAAAGGCCAAGTAACATATAAAGGCAAACCTATCAGAATTACAACTGACTTCTCCATGGAAATTCTAAAAGCCAGAAGGTCCTGGATAGATATTCTACCAACACTAAGAGACCATGGATGCCAGCCCAGACTACTATACCTGGCAAAGCTCTCAATCACTATAGACGGAGAAAACAAGATATTCCATGACAAAACTAGATTCAAGCAATACGTATCCACTAACCTAGCCCTACAGAAAGTTTTGGAAGGAAAACTCCAACCCAAGGAAGCTAACTACAACCAGAAAAACATAGGCATTGGAGAATCCCTCTCTACCAACAGCCAAAAGAACAAAGGGGTGAAATTCCACACATAATTCCACCACCAACAACCATTGCAAATCGAAGAAGAATGAGCAATCAATGGTTTTTAATATCCCTCAACAAATATGGCCTTAACTCACCCATAAAAAGACAGACACAGGCTAGCAGAATGGATTCGAAGACAGAACCCTTCCTTCTGCTGCATACAAGAAACACACCTCACCCTCAAAGACAGACATTACCTGAGAGTTAAAGGTTGGGAAAAAATTTTCCAATCAAATGGACTCAAGAAACAAGCAGAGGTAGCAATCCTAATATCTAACAAACTAGACTTTAAAATAAAATCAATCAAAAGAGATGAAGGAGGTCATTACATACTCATCACAGGTGAAATCCACCAAGATGAAGTGTCTATCCTGAACATCTATGCCCCAAATACAAAGGCATCTACATTCGTAAAAGAAACATTACTAAAACTTAAATCACATATAAAGCCCCACACAGTTATAGTGTGAGATTTCAACACACCACCCTCACCACTAGACAGGAATACCAGACAGAAACTCATCCCCAAGTACTACAGTTTCCCTGACTATACTGTCTTCAATAAAATGACTATGAGATCAATGCTTTTGACTATTTGATATGTTTTTCTTTAAGCAACAAGCAAAATCCAAACTGCCAACCATGATGCCTTTTCCAATATGATTTGATGACTCTCCCTAACTCTGAAAGAAAGCATGTGAAGACTCAAATCTGTGTTCAAAGACATGTCTAACTGCTCTCAGGCTCAATTTTAGAGAATACAAAAATAACTATGTGCAGTAAGATAACATTATTCTTTTCCTTTTTTGTAGAAATAATACAAAGCATTTATTTGAAATACTGGACAATAACAGAGTTAGGTAATCCAATTCCCTTGCAACAATTAAACATACAAGCCAGCCCTCAGTACAATGTTACAGGAGAAATATGACCCAGTAAGAGTGCCACTGCCCTGCCAAGTGCTTCCCATCTTACCCAAGCCATATAGAGATGCTAGCATTCCTAATACCATCACTGGGATAAATAATTCTTTAAAACAAACAATTAAAGACAGATTAAAGTCCCCAGCAATGCATGTCCAATTCAAGCTCAATCAACTTCTGTGAGTTCACGTGCTTCCCACTAAGAAGTAAGTCATCCACACTCATCTTCCCTGCACAGTAACTCAAGAAAAACCCTTAAATGGTTCGTAAATTAAAATGTAGGGGGCAGGCGTTGGTGGCACACGCCTCTAATCACAGCACTCAAGAGACAGAGACAGGTAGATTTCTGTGAGTTCAAGACCAACCTGGTCTACAGAGTGAGTTCTGGGACAGTCTCCAAAGCAATACAGAGAAACCCTGTCTCAAAAAAGTAGGGATTAACACT